CCTTTTAAAATTTCAAATTAGGGGACAGGGGGACACGGGACAACGGGACAGGGATTGCGGGACACGGGACATGGATACGGGACTTGGGACATGGACAGAAATTGACTAAAAAGGGGCGGGTTAGCAGCCACTACGGAGCAGCATGGTCCACGAAATGAGCTAATTACAATGTGGTTATTAAACAGGTACGGGTCGTACAAACATCATTAACATGCATTTCGTAGACACGTCAATACAATTAATTTAAACCAAAACAGTGCTACATGGGGACAGGTGGGCTGGGGACCGCCTGAAGACACAGGGATACACCTAGACCTAGACCCAGACAGACAACGAAGCATCAAATCAAACAGAAACACATTCACGAGAGCGCCAGTGAGCCGAAATCCCGGCGCACAAGCCATCCCAGTCCCATTCATCATTTCATTCATTATGACGATCTGCAAGCATCATGCCTCTTTTCCCGAATGCATAGCAAGGGTTCCCGTTTCACTCTGGGGGTCTGGGGGTTGAGGGTGCGTTCGCTCGACGTGGCGCAACCGTCCGCAACCGTCCGCAAGTGTCCGTGTGAGGGCCGTATGGCCGTGCCTATCGTAAGTTCTGCAAAAGGGGTCACTTTTTGAGGTTTCAAACGTCGCGTTGCTTCGTTTCGCGTGGCAAGCGTGGCACTTCGTGACATTCAGACGTGTTTTGTAACATGTCGGAAGTCGTTTTGCGTGGCAGGCACAATACTTTTGCGACGTTTTCAGAAGATGAGTTCCAGTTTTCGTGGCAGGCACAGCACTTTGGACGTGTCCATCTTCATTTTGCGTGGCAGGCGCAGCACTTTACAGGAGTCGTGTTGGGTGCTTTTGCGAATCGCATTGTCAGGGCTGCGTCCAGTGGTGACAACGTGTAAATTCTGTGGCAAGCGTGGATGGAAGCCTCGCACGAAACATCGATTTTGAAGTAGCAATTTTTGAGGTTCACAAGAAAACTCGTGGGAAAACGTCGATTCCGAAGCTACAAAGTGTGAAAATTGGAGGATGTCTCGCAAGAAATGCTCGTTTTGATGCTCCAACATGTCTCGTCTCGGGTCTCGGGTTTTCTTCTGCTGTCGCCGTGTCTATGGGGAAGCTGCAAAACCTCTCCTTTTCGAAGGTTTCCAAGTTGGTTGCCCTGTTGTTTCGCGTGGCAGGCGTGGCACTTGGTGATATTCTCACGTGTCTGCAAAAAGTGACGAAAACCGTTTTGTGTGGCGGGCGCAATACTTTGGTGTAGTTTTCAGAAGATGAGTTGCATTTTTCGTGGCAGGGCAGCGCAGCACTTTGGAGACATCCATTGTCATTTGACGTGGCAGGCGCAGCACTTCAGACGTGTCGCGTTGCCTGTTTTTTTTGCGAATACCAATGTCGGGGCTGCGTCAAGTGGTGACAATGTGAAAAATGCAATACTTTACAACCCACACTTTGCACTTTTCACTCTACACTTTACACTTTATACTACACACTCGACACTTTACACTCATGACTCTACGCTCCACACTCTACACTCCACACTCTACACTTTACACTCCACACTCCACACTCCACACTTTACACTCCACACTCCACACTTTACACTCCACACTCCACACTTTACACTCCGCACTTTACACTTTACACTCCACACTCTACACTTTACACTCTACACTTTACACTCCACACTTTACGCTCCACACTTTACACTCTACACTTTACACTCAACACTCTACACTCTACACTCTACACTTTACACTTCACACTTCACACTCCACACTCTACTCTCTACACTCCACACTCCACACTTTATACTTTACACTCCACACTTTACACTTCACACTCCACACTCCACACTCTACACTCTACACTCCACACTCCACACTTTACACTTTCCACTCTACACTTTACACTCCACACTTTACACTCGACACTTTGCATTCTACACTTCACACTCCACACTCTACACTCTACATTCCACACTTTATTCACACTTCACACTCCACACTCCACACTTTACACACCACACTCCACACTCTACATTTTACACTCCACACTCCACACTTTACACTCCACACTCCACACTTTACACTCCGCACTTTACACTTTACACTCCACACTCTACACTTTACACTCTACACTTTACACTCCACACTTTACGCTCCACACTTTACACTCTACACTTTACACTCAACACTCTACACTCTACACTCTACACTTTACACTTCACACTTCACACTCCACACTCTACTCTCTACACTCCACACTCCACACTTTATACTTTACACTCCACACTTTACACTTCACACTCCACACTCCACACTCTACACTCTACACTCCACACTCCACACTTTACACTTTCCACTCTACACTTTACACTCCACACTTTACACTCGACACTTTGCATTCTACACTTCACACTCCACACTCTACACTCTACATTCCACACTTTACACTTCACACTTCACACTCCACACTCCACACTTTACACACCACACTCCACACTCTACATTTTACACTCCACACTCCACACTTTACACTCCGCACTTTACACTTTACACTCCACACTCTACACTCTACACTCCACACTCCACACTTTACACTTTACACTCCACACTTTACACGTTACACTCCACACTCTACACTTTACACTCTACACTTTACACTCCACACTTTACGCTCAGCACTTTACACTCTACACTTTACACTCCACACTACACTCGACACTCTACACTCCACACTCCACACTTTACACTCCACACTCCACACTCTCTCTACACTCTACACTCCACCTCCACACTCTACACTCTACATTCCGCACTTTACACTCCACACTTTACACTCCACACTTTACATTCTACACTTCACACTCCACACTCTACACTTCACACTCCACACTTTACACTCCACACTCTACACTTTACACTCCACACTCCACACTCTACACTTTACACTCTACACTTTACACTTTACACTCCACACTTTTCACTCCGCACTTTACACGCTACCCTTCACATTCCACACTTCACACTCCATACTCTATATACACTCCATACTCACACTTCACACTCAACACTCTACACTTTACACTTTACATTTTACACTCTACACTCCACACTCTACACTCCACACTCTAAACGTTACACTCCACACTTTACACTTTACACTCCACACTCTACACTCCACTCTATACACTCCACACTCCACACTTTGCACTCCATCCTCTTCCGCATTCCACAGATACAGAGCACTGGTACGGTAACAGGGGAAACATGTACAAGACTGTTCAAATAACTTGTTTCACAAAAGTGTTCTACGTGACTACATTCGGGTTCGTGGGCTGCATCTTGTTTTTTCAAGCATCATGCGTCGAATCTCGACAGCTTAAACGTTTGTACGGCCAAAAGGCCTTAAGCGCTAGCCTAAACCATCGAGAAGAAACTCTGCGGTGCAACATCGAGTGCACTGAGAACTGTCCACTTTCCAAGTTTCATTCGTTCTCTGGCTCATCTCAAATGAAAATTGAATTGAATGGGTATGCCAAAGGGCACGCATGCCCAACAAAATTGCATATGTAATTTCACACAAAGGAGTGCTCACGCATATTTGGCCAAGCTCCAACCATATCGATGGTTAAGTTGGTATGAGAACTGGTTTTTAGGAAGTAGTGGAGCATCAAGCCACAAACATGCTCAGGATATAGTTACGGACGAGTGTGCATGGTCAGCGTTCACATCAACATGTCAGCCAGAGAGGTGGCAACCGAAATTAGACTGTAGAAACACCACATCATGCTAACACTAGATCACGGTAACAGTCCTCCCTCATTCTTTCTTTCATGTCATTTCAATTCATTTCATTCAATTCCATTCCATGTCATTCCGTTCGGTTCCATTTCATGTCATTTCCTTGCTTTGTTGCTATCTCATCTATATAATTATTTGTTGATTTCATTATGTGTCCATTCTTCCATTCGTTCATTCTTTCATTTCATGTTTGCATTCATCCTTTCGTGTCATTGACTTCATGTTCTTTCATTTCGTTTCATTGGCACCGGTATCTGATTATGTTGTCCATTTCCTGGAGATTTCTAGAGTTTCGTAGCATTCAACACCTTTGCAGAGATGGCAGGTGCAGAAGCGAGAAACAAGCAAGCGAGCAAAAATTCCAGGTGCACAAGCGACCCCATGCCCTTTGTGACCACTTGATGCAGCAGTGCCCATGCGATTTGCAAAACACACGCAGCACCACACATCTAAAGTGCTGCGCCAGCCACCAAAACTGAATATGGACATCTCTGAAGTGCTGCATCTGGCAGGAAAATAAACACCACCTTGAGAAGACCGTCCAAAAATATGTCGCTTGTCATACAAAAAGATCCCTACCCCTTAGCAGAAAATGTTAGTTACAAGTAGGCAGGTTGCTGGAGGCCAAAATATGTAAGTTGCATTTGTTTGGGTTGCCAGGATTGTTTATTTTACAATGATTTGTTCTTAAACGCTCCTGATTTTAAGTCACATTTCCGGAGGCAAACTTGTCCAACATTTTTTGGGCTGCCAACCCCAAAAATGTAAGCTTACAATTTTAACGTCGTATATCATCTTTAGGGAGGCATCTGATCTCGAAACAGCTCCACAAAAAAAAAAAAGGGGAAATGATGGAATCTCCATGGATTTGGTCTGCCCCTCCCCATTCCAAGAAAACATATCTTTAGTTTTTCCTGGGCCATTGGGAAACCAAGGGTTCGATAGGGGGTAGGGGGGCACCTAAGAATGTAACCTGGTACGCGGCGCGTGCTAACTTACATTTATTTGGAATGGGGGTGGTGAAAAATGTATGTTGTCCACGCGGCGCCTGTCCAGCTTAGATTTTCAGACTTCCCCCCCTTCGGGAAAAAGCAATCAATAAGAAAAACTCGCAAAGGAATTTCATCCGTGCATGCGGAGTCTGTGGCCTTCTGGGGCGTTCTATCTCATTTTTTGGCTTTTTGGCACTCAGTCCAGCCTTCTCAATCCGCAGCTCCATTTTGCGGAGACGTTCAGTTCGGTTTTGTTCGATCTCTGTGATCATTCGAGTCGTCTCCGGTCTCATGGCTGGTTGGCCGTAGTACTGTGAACCTTGGGCTGTCTTGAGCTACCTTGGGCCAAATGGCAGAAGAAGCGGCTCATGATCATGACAAGAGCCCTTTCAGTGGCTTCCCAGTCTGGGAAACAAACTACCATAGACTATAGGCTATAGACTTCAATTCTGAAGTTTCTTCTGGTTTTTTCGAATCGGTCACTGCACTTGCAAGAAAAATTGGGTTCGAAGGAACAAAGCCGTCAGGAGCTCATGACTAGTGCTATGGCGCAGGCTTGTTCAGCCGGTACAACTGAATGCAGTTGTCGAAGAGGGCGAAGAAGGTATTCAACGTCTCCTCAGGCAGAGACCTCAAAACCTCCACTCCTTGCCTTTCACCCTTCGTTCGTGTTCGGACCAGCAGATAGGGCCTTCAAATGAACCAGTTGCGACACTGACATTGCGGCAAACCAGAGATACAACCAACAGGTCTCAAATATTCTGTCAAAAGTGAAGGTCAAAGCCGTCGGATGAGATCCTCGTAGTCGATTCCACGCCTTGGAATTGTTTGTTGTTCGGACCTCTGGGTCTTGCAAGTTGTGTTTGCACAGGGCCTTTTTAAAAAAGGAACAAGGCAAACCGTTAAACCTTTGGGAGGGCGAGCGGCCAAAGTAATCAATCCCGAGGCGAAAGCTCTGCAACAAGTTTCTGGTATCTGGCTTCGAGTTTTTTCTCGTTCTCCAGCTGTTCCTCGACCTGACGTTTCCATCGTAAAATTTTGATTCGAACGCTACATTCAAAAACTATGTCCAAGTTCCCCCACCCTTTCAGGGTCGTCGTCGTCATGTTCAAGCTGCATGACATCAAAGTTGTCGTCCATTACCTTCCGTACGTAGGCGAAGGCAGGAGCCAGAGCGCTCAACCCAATCATGCCGATGCCATTTACTGCCGTCTGCATTTCCCACTGTCTAAGGCATTTGCATCTGCACCAGGCATTGACTGCTCCTCCTCTTTGGTGAGAGCCCTCAGAGAGCGATCAAAATCGAAATTACCACAATAGAAACTCATTAACGCTCACAAATCATGTGCAGTTTGAACAGTCATGCAGCAAGCATCCCTGATAACTGTCCTGGCAAAACGTCCTTTGTCGCAAAATCCAAGCAAATACCCCGGCTCCATTGATTTTGATTCGATGCTCCCAGTGGCACAGCTATGAATAATATCTACCTCGCAAAACAGCATCCTGAGTGGTGGTTTTACACATTTCCCGACTTGTCTCTGTGGGTGCTCTCAACGAACGCACTCGTCTCAGAGTTTCAGCCTCCATTTGACTGGTTTTTTCTTGCAGAGGTTCACAACCTCGTGACTTGTGGCGTTTGCAGGTCTGCAACACTTCGCAATTTGACACAACTTGAAATAGTCACCGCGAGGTCCCGTTTGCCAAGGTGAGGACCAATGTTTTGGTGGCTCCAACTTCAATTTGCCAGTCAGACCTCTTGAGTTCTTCCAGTGCAAATGGTTGACATTCAATGGGTGCAAAATCATCTGGGATTTTTTCCTGACCCGTTTGGGGAAATTATATAGGTTCTGTTTCTATCCTGGGGCTAGGATTCTGTATGAAACACCGCACAAGGGTTATGTGTTTGACAGCACCCCCTTCCATTTGCAGTTTGTGCCAAACATGTTTTGATTGTGGCCACAGTTATACTTGTGCTCTTGTTGCTGCTGGTGTTTTCCTTTTTGTTTGTTTTTTTTCTTGTGTTTCTTCTCGTTGCTCTCGTTGTTTTCATTGTTCATTGTTTTTGTTCTTGTTGTGTTTTTTTTGTGGTTTTGTTTGGTTCTTCTTGTTATTTGTTCATTTGTTTTTCCCTTTTTCTTCTGGTTTTTTTTCCTTATTGTTCTGGTTTTTCGTTCTTGTTTTCGGCTTAAGGTTTATGTGTTTAATGTCGGTTTAGGAATTATTTGGGTTGTTTTGGGTTTTCTGACGGTTGGCTTAGAATTTACTGATGGTTGGTTTAGGGTTTACGCTTTACAGAATTTATTGAGGGTTGGTTTACGGTTAGGTTTCTTGAGGGTTTATTTATGGTCAGTTTAGGATTGGTTTAAGTGTTTCTTTCAAGTTTGGAGTTTGTTGATGTTTACTTAATGTTGGTTTGGGATTTGTTTCTGGCTGGCTGGGGTGTTACTCAGCGATGGTCCACGGTTTATTTAGGGCGCGTTTAGGTTTGATGTGTTTCAAAACTTGTTTTAGGCTGTTACAGTTTTTTAAAACTTAAGTTTTAGGCCCTAAAAAAACACAAACAAACACAGAAAATGCGTTCAACTTGAGGCCAAAGGGAAGGGGACAAAACCTAGTTGGGCAAGGAGAGATATGTATTGAGAGAATATGTGGTGCGACCTTTTCAGTGTCAGTTTTTGGCTTGAAATAAGCTACCATTCGCTGTTGCTGGCAAGCTAACAGCTGCGTATCATAATATGCTAGCTCGCATGCACAGCAATCATTCCACAACCCTCCCCCTGGCATCCTATATAGCAGAACAGCGTCAAAATTACGCTCCTAGTACTTTACTTGCGAAATACAATGTGCCCCGTGGGCCACTTTGCAACCATCTGATTGAACCTTTTTCCCGCTGACGTATTATATATATATAAGTAAATATGTCTATGATGAATATACCAAAGTATCTCTATATATCTGTATATATATATATATCGATTATACAAAACCCAATCTTAGAATCTGGTAACTTAGGTGCATACATCCATCGAGCAAGAAATGTTTGGGAATCTTAAGTGCGCATCTTCCATTCCTCGCCCAAACTGGGTCATGTTTTCACACAGACCTCTTGAGGAAACGGAGTGCAAGACTCCAAGTGATTGTTCTCTCATTAGGTTAAATTACATTACGGTACATTACATTACATTAGGTGGGAGTAAATTACATCACACTAGGTTAGGTTGCATTAGATTAGGTTCCATTAAATTAGACTACATTAGCTTAGGTTAGATTGCGTTACTTTTTTTTGATGGTCTTAATAAGTTTTTCACGGTCTTTTCAACATGCTTCACGCTGTTTTCAGGCTCTTGTCAGGCTTCAAGATTAACCAAGCACATGAATATTTACGACCTAAAAGATTTTTTCCCATGAGAATGAAAGCACGAAAGCTGCAAAGCGCAAAGCAAGCTGGGCGCACCAACAAACTGACAAAAATACTCCATGAACAATAGTTCCCTCTCAGTCGTTGAAGATGTTGGAGAATCAGATTCCAAGTTGTGAAAGGGTAGGTGCGCCATAGGTTAGATTGCATTGCATTGGACTGGATTGCATTGCATTATGTAAATTCAATTAGATAAGAATGCATTATCGCATTACATTCGCAACACTCACGGTGAATATCATCTTATACATGCGTGTGCGCCCGCATGCGAATGCGTCGTCACAGATAAAACCCAGCGGGATGGAGGCAGCGGGGTTTGAGCCCGAGGGAGGGAGAGGGGTCACAGTTCGACATGATTATATAATCATGCCGAACAAGCGAGCCCCAAAACAAGCTCAACATGAAAAATCATGGCAGCTGCGTCCAGTCTGCCACCAAATCATTGCTAAAGCAAATCCAACTCCAGCTAGCAAGCTAGCTTTCGTCACATGTGGTTTTGCCATGTTTTGCCACTATATTCGGTAAGCGCGAAATTTTTGCAGGAAGGGGAAGGTATTTCTCCCCGTCTTGCTATGTCGTGTTAGATTTCGTCTCTCTTGGCATTTGACGGTCTTATTGACCATCGTTGCTGTGCGCAGACAGCTTGTAGCAGAATCTCTCATCTGAAGCAAAGGCGCAGAAAAGCGAAAGCAGAAAAGCAGCACAGCAGAAGTAAAGCAAAAGAGCAGAAAAGCAGCACGACGGAAGCAGAAGCAACAGAGGGGAAATGCAAAAGCGAAAGGTGGAAGCAGAAGCAAAGGAACACAACCCAAAAGCAGAGAAACAGGAAAGCAAAAGAGGGGAAGCATAAGCAAGGGACAAAGAGCCAAAAGTAGAGATCAAAAGCCAAGAGGTTGTTTAGCAAAGAAGGGGAAAGAAGAAGCAGAGACGGGGAAGCGGAAAAGCGACGCAGCAGGACAAGAAGAAAAAGAAAGGCAAGAGCAGCCAGACATAAATCAGAAAAAACGAACAGATCAGGAAATGCAAAGAACCCCCTCCCGCATCCAATTCAAATCTGCATGGTGCGGTCTTCTTGTTCACAGGCTCCAGCTCATCAACATTCACCTTAAGGAGGCCAGGTGTCTGGATGTTGCAAACTAAATTCGAGCAGCTTGCGCATATTTTACTGCTCTACCTCCATGACTATGTCGACCCCGCGGTCTCAAAATTTGAGAATAACCCATAGCCACAGCTACGCAAGATCGCTTCAAGCAGGCAGACATAGTTGTATAGTTTCAAGCTATTTGAATCTATTTGGGGCTCTGGCTTTCCCGCAAGGCTCCTCATTGAAAACGCTTCCTGGGAGCAGTCATCAGCAAAACGTTTCAACCTACAACCTCCGAAATCCAAGTATGCTAAGCAGCACGCTCCCAGCTATCACAACCTCAAGCCACCGGGCTGATACCAGCCGCTTCACAACCAAAGTCTTCAAATGAGGTCCCGAGTGCTCTGGTCTTTCCAAGTTCTGCGGGAACTGGCAATGATTTCCAAGCTGCGGGTTTATCACACGGTGGGAGCATCAGTGTTTGATGCTGCCGGCTTGCGAATTCAAACCAAGCATTTCAACTGCCTCATGGGGAGCCTAAAGGGCTCAGACAACTCATCGTTTCAATTTGAACTTGTGTATTCCATCGCGCGGTGGCGATGGTGTTCGGCATCTGTTCGGCTCAGAGGCTTCCATGTGCCCAACTTCTTCCCATAACCTCAGCGGATAAAGAGCAAAATCAAATCAGCACAAAGGAGCTAGGATCGAAAGTTGACATTCGCTGATTTGCTTGGGCACCCTACCCGCACGAAGTGGTCTCCACCGTGACTGGCTGCAACTCACCAGACATGCTCAGCAGGCTGCAATCTGATCCAAATTCGCTGAGACCAAATGGCGAAATGGGCCCCGCATTGGCTTCAGCTTGATGGTGCCCACACTCAGGAAGGCCTGAAGTCCACAAGCAATAACACAAGACTGCAGGAAAAATATCGACGGATATATGGACAAATAGATAAGGCACATCTTCATATGAACAAGATACATAGGATAGGATTGGATTGGATTAGAGTGGGATGGGATAGGGTAAGATAGGGTGAGGCAGGGTAGGATAGGATTAGATTAGATTTGCGTTGGCGCCTTGTGGGCCTATTCTAGATACTGAAATCTTGAAACAACGCACCATGTAATGCAAAAAATGCAAATCAAAAAATGCAAAAAAATGCAAGTGCAAAAACACAATGCAAAAAATGCAAATCAAAAATGCAAGAAAATGCAGTTGCAAAAGTGCAGTTCGTATTTTTTGGCATGTTTCTTGCATTTTACCTATATAGGTTTTTGCATGTTTTTCCAAAATCATGTTCGTCTAGTTGGTCCCTGGTCTGATTTGCATTTGTTTCGTTGTTTAGCTTTTGTTTGCATTTTCTTGCTTCTTTCAGAGTCGCATTGTTCAGGTTTTTTTACACTTGTAATTTTTGCCTCTCCCAGACTTGCTTTTTCCCCACATCTTTGTGTGGGGTTCTTGTTTTTGATTCTGTACCCGCCGCCTCCGTCCCGCCTCGGTCCCGCCTCCTCCGCCGCCCCCTCTTTGTCACATACAACTTTCTTACACACGCAACGTTCTTTCACACACAGCTTTGTCACACACCATCTTTCACACACAACTTTCTTTCACACACATCTTTCTTTCACACACAGCTTTGTCACACACCATCTTTCACACACAACGTTCTTTCACACACATCTTTCTTTCACACACAGCTTTGTCACACACCATCTTTCACACACAACTTTCTTTCACACACATCTTTCTTTCACACACAGCTTTGTCACACACCATCTTTCACACACAACTTTCTTTCACACACATCTTTCTTTCACACACAGCTTTGTCACACACCATCTTTCACACATAACTTTCTTTCACACACACCTTCCTTTCACACACAGATTTGTCACACACCATCTTTCACACACAACTTTCTTTCACACACATCTTTCTTTCACACACAGCTTTGTCACACACCATCTTTCACACACAACTTTCTTTCACACACATCTTTCTTTCACACACCATCTTTCACACACAACTTTCTTTCACACACATCTTTCTTTCACACACAGCTTTGTCACACACCAGCTTTCACACGCATCTTTCTTTCACACACATCTTTCTTTCACACACAGCTTTGTCACACACCATCTTTCACACACAACTTTCTTTCACACACAGCTTTGTCACACACCATCTTTCACACACAACTTTCTTTCACACACATCTCTCTTTCACACACACCATCTT